AGCTGCAATATTCTCTCATTTGAGAGGAGAATTCATAAGCACAGAGTGTTATTTCAATTCACACTAAATAAAACCAATCAGGAGCGTTCTGAAAAAAAAAATACACTTTCTGCAAAACGCCTCTTTCATCTAAATTCATCCCTTAAAAGAATTACTTGTGAGACTGCAAACCCAAGCAAGGTTCCCACAGTAACTGGTTAATTGAAGGGGGGAGAGGGGAAGCAGCAAACCCCTCACATTGAATACATCTGCTGGGTTTTAAGTTTTAGGAGTCTTCCTTGAATTTTTGCTTCTTTAGAAAGAAAATGGTTGTGTTTCTCAAACTTGCACCTAGCAGAGACCGCAACAGCAAGACCGCTTGCGTATAGGCTTTAATATGGAAATCACAGTATTTCCTAAGCAAAGTGGAAAAACAAACACTCCCGTGGGTTGCATGAGGCTTTAGAGGTAACACTATTCCCCAGCCCTCGGAGCTGAGATTTTAAGTGATATTCCCCCAAATTCTTCCTCCCGCTGCCTGGCTCAGCCTCTCCGCATGCTCTTCACCCTATTCTCAGGCTGGGGGATGGGTGGGAACTGGGTTTCGCCAAGCCCAGCTCCATCTGAAAAGACTTTCTCTCCAAACTGAATTGTCCTTTCCAAGGAGGGAGCCTTCCACATCCCACCTCCACCACATACCCACCACGCCATGCAATCCTTGTGTAACGTGTCCCTTCCCCCAGGCGAGTACCAGCATACAAAGGAAGCCTTGCTCCATTGTCCACCTACAGCACCTATACATCGAGCCTGAAACCCGACTCAACACATACCCCTTCACCCCTTTCACAGCCACAAATACTCAGGTGTTTACATCCCCAAAAGGGCTACGGAGGCGGCGTGTCATTTCCCCCGTGCATTAGTACCTGCACCCACAGCCAAATGTTTTGAAGCGTATTTTAACTGTGTTTACTTGCATGAGATCAGCCTCACCCGAACACACAAATCCCGGTTAAAAATCAGTTTTGAAAAACCGCGACAAATTGCAGAAATGGGGGGGGGGGGGTTGCCTGGCTGCACATCTCCTTCCCAAACCTCTGATGGAAACTCACAAAGGTAAAAACAACCAAAAAAGGTAATTAACAATTCAGCGCCTGCCATTTTTTCCCATCCATCTCTAAGCAACAGTACCATAGCAACTTTTTTCCTGCTTTAATACATCTTACAAAAGGAGAAGGACTGGACAAAATAACACCCAGGAATGTCAAATTTCCACTTTTGAGTGCCTATTCCTTCAGCTAGCTATGCCTGGAACAAACAACCCCGGAGCGGGTTTTCTTTCCCCAAAAACCCTGCCTTTGTACAACGCTGGGTCACGTAACCTGGACTGACGGACGCGACAAACCACCTCAAATGCAGAACCACCATCCCGCGCGCTGCCATGGACGGAGCGGCGATTCCGGGCTCAGGGGAGAAAATAAAAAGGTGAAGCTCAGTTAAAATAGGGCAATTTCTGAGTGCTGATGATGCTGGGACGGGATTCTGCTGCTGCTGCTGCAGCTCAGGCCAGGAGCATGGAGGAGACCTCCAGAGGTTCCTCCCCGCACCCCCGGG